TGACGATGACGATGATGAGCGTCACCACTACATCATTACCATACCCAATTCAAATCCTACTAGTCTTTGTCCTCTCCCTAGCATCAATCACTTTATTGCACCGAATACTATCAAGGCCCACCAAAATCAAAGACCGGTCTCGCCAGCTTCCTCCGGGCCCACCAGGATGGCCCATCCTCGGCAACTTACCGGAGCTAGCCATGACTCGCCCAAGAACCAAATATTTGCACCAAGCCATGAAAGAGCTAAAGACAGAGATCGCATGTTTCAACTTCGCCGGAGTCCACGCCATCATCATACACTCCGACGAGATCGCCAGAGAAGCGTTAAAAGAGCGAGACATAGATTTCGCCGACCGGCCTCATCTTTTCGTCGTGCAGGCCATCGGAAGCAACAAAATAGTGGGACTCTCTCCCTACAACGAACAACATAAGAAGATGAAAAGAGTGTTCACAACGGAACTTATGTCCACTAAAGCGTTGAACTTGTTGGTGGCTTCGAGAACCATCGAAGCGGATAATCTCAATGCTTACGTTCACTCGATGTATCAACGGTCCGAGACGGTCGACGTTAGAGAACTCTCGAGAGTTTATGGTTACGCAGTGACCATGAGGATGTTGTTTGGTAGGAGACATGTAACGAAAGATAACGTTTTTTCGGACGATGGAAGGTTAGGGAAAGAGGAAAAGAAGCATCTCGAGGCGATTTTCGGAACTTTAAACTGTTTGCCAAGTTTTTCTCCGGCGGATTACTTGGAAAAATGGTTGCTAGGGTGGAATATTGAAGGTCAAGAAGAGAGGGTGACATTGAATGGTAATATTGTTCGTAGTTACAACAATCCCATAGTTGACGAGAGAGTCGAGTTATGGAGGAAAAAAGGCGGTAAGGCTGCTGTTGAAGATTGGATTGATATCTTCATTACGCTAAAAGATGAAAACGGAAAGTACTTGATCACGCCAGACGAAGTCAAAGCTTCATGTGTTGTAAGTTTAAAAAAAAAATCTACTCATATTGCCAATTGACATGAGTCGAAACTCATAAAATCTCACGTCAGTGGTTTTATATAAATAGTAAAACTTTAGTAGTTGTTTTGAGATATTATAATTCGACTCGTGTCGTGTTTTGTTATAGGAAGTTTCTATAGCAGCAATTGATAATCCGGCAAATAACATGGAGTGGACACTTGCGGAGATGTTAAAGAACCCGGAGATTCTAAAAAAGGCTATGGAGGAGTTAGACGAAGTGGTCGGAAAAGACAGGCTTGTTCAAGAATCAGACATACCAAATCTAAACTACCTAAAAGCTTGTTGCAGAGAAACATTTAGGATTCACCCAAGTGCTCATTATGTCCCTACTCATGTCGCCCGTCAAGATACCACCCTCGGGGGTTACTTCATTCCCAAAGGTAAATAAAATTATGTAATTGTATAGGTTTTTGGCTATATTAAACAATATATTAATGGTTTCACAAAAAAAAAAATTAACCGGTTGAGCTACCAATATATAAAGATAAATAATTTTAGCGTTACGTGCATACATTAATTAAATAAAATCATTGGTTTTGGACAGGTAGCCACATTCATGTAGGCCGTCCTACACTAGGCCGTAACCCTAAGATATGGAAAGATCCAATGGTATACAAGCCGGAGCGTCATCTCGAAGGAGATGGAATCTCAAAAGAAGTTTCTCTAGTCGAATCAGAGTTGCGTTTTGTCTCGTTTGGCACCGGTCGACGTGGCTGCGTCGGTGTTAAAGTCGGGACGATCATGATGGTTATGTTGTTGGCTAGGTTTCTTCAAGGATTTAACTGGAAACTCCATCCTGATTTTGGACCTTTAAGCCTTGAGGAAGATGATGCATTACTCATGTCTAAGCCTCTTCTCTTGTCCGTCGAGCCACGTTTGTCACCGAACCTTTATCCAAAATTCCAGCCTTAGAGAGACAAATAATGAACAAGACGCCTTGTTGGTTCTTTGTTATGTTATTCAATGCTTTGTTTTTTCATTCGACGTTATGATTTCTTTCTTAACGTATTGTTTATCTGTTAATGTTTTAGACCATCCATTGTCATAAAAGGCCATCGTTTCACTCGTTGTGTTTTTTTTTTCACTCGTTATGTTTGTTTTAAAAAAAAATGTGTTTGTATCTTCGTTAATTAATGAATCTCGATCAACTATTCGGAGTGGCATCATGACTACAACTTAGGAGCTGAATGTTGCTCATGTTGACCAATAGTACCGTATATATTTGTACTATTAGTAACATGACAACACTAAGCATAGCCTCTCAAAAAAA